GGTTCAGCTCATTGGTGACGGAGAGAACACTAAACCAGTAGGAGTCATTAGACAGACTCGAAGATCCAGATTTTCTCAAAGATTTCTTTTATGCTCCCTGCAAATATTCGTTTCATTGAATAGAGTTTTTCCATTTTATAGGTAAGGTAACAGAGATTGTGAAGCTGGTTGATATTAGGTCATGATTTTTAAAAATTATATTTATCATTTATTCAGTACTCTCATTTAGTAACTTATAAGGTTCCATACCTGGCCAAGCATAGGCTCCACCTTTCCTGTATTGTTTTATTTTATTTTATTTTATTTTATTTTATTTTATTTTAATTGATTTCAGAGAAAGTAAGGGAGAGGGAAAGAGGGATGGAAACATCAATGATGACCAAGATTCACTGATTGGCTGCCCAATGTAATGCAAGAAGTTGTGAAAACTTTTAAAAACTCTGTATCCTCAAATACTAAATGATAATTACCACAAGGGGAGGAGGGTATAATGGGTGAAAGGAGTCAAAAGATACAAACTTCCAGTTATAAAATAAATATGTAATGGGGATGTAATGTACAATGTAGTGACTATAGATAATAATACTTTATTGTATATTTGGAAGTTTTAAAAGAGTCAATCTTAAAAGTTCTCATTACAACAAAAATCCTATATAATAATAGCCTAATATGCTAAGTGTCCAGGCATCCGTTCAACCAATCAATGCATAATATGCTAATGATATGCTAAGGCCACTCAACCACTTGCTATGACTTGCACTGACCTTCAGGGGGAAGATGCTCTGACCAGTAGGTTAGCTTGCTGCTGGGGTCTGGCAGATCAGGACTAAGTGAGATGGGCTGGACACACTTCGGAGCCCTCCCGTAGTTCTTCCCAGTCCTCAATCATGTACCGGTGGGGTCCCTCAGCTTGACCTGCACCCTCTCACAATCTGGGACCCCTTGGGGGATATCAGAGAGCCAGTTTTGGCCTGATCCCGCAGGCCAGACCGAGGGACCCCATTGGTGTACGAATTTGTGCACTGGTCCTCTAGTATTTTTATAACTATGTATGGGGACAATGGTTGCTAGACATACTGTGGTGATTATTTTGCAGTCTGTATATATATATTGAATCATTATATTATACTCATGAAGCTAATATAATGTTATATGTCAATTATACCTAAATTAAAAAATAAGATAAACTTTGTTTTTAAAAAAAGAAAAAATTATGTACAGTAGGTCCTCCAGTTACGTAAGAGATTCGTTCCTACAGCATAATGTATTGCGATTTTTGCTCTAAGTTGGAACCCACCTACATAAGCACCTACGTCACTCACATGGAGCACATACACAGCAGTAGTGAAGAGAAACAGTAAAAACTAATTAAAAGAAAGATAACAATTCTTGACCTTTACTTGTGGTAAATAAATAAAAAACATAGCCGAGACCGGTTTGGCTCAATGGATAGAGCGTCGGCTTGGGGACTGAAAGGTCCCCGGGTTCGATTCCAGTCAAGGGCATGTACCTTGGTTGCGGGCATATCCCCAGTAGGGGGTGTGCAAGAGGCAGCTGATCGATGACTCTCTCTCATCGATGTTTCTAACTCTCTATCTCTCTCCCTTCCTCTCTGTACAAAATCAATAAAATATATATAAAAAAAATAAAGCACATATGTATATACATCAAAATGAAGGAACTTTTTTTTAAATAAATAAATGGGAGATGATGACATAACCACAAAATGATGTACATCGAATCCAACTTAACCCGAGGACTGCCTGTATCCTCAAAACTATATAGTAATTGTTGAAAGTATTACTGATGAGAGATGTTGGTCAATAGAATTACTAGGGAAACATGGCCCTAAGAACTATTGGGAGAAAAACCCGCAAAATGTCTTACCTATGCTAGTAGTTAACAGTACCAAATAGTACAAAATAGCAACAAATCATAATTATTTTTAATATGTCTTTATTGATTTTAGAGAGAGAAAGTGAGGGGGTAGAAAGATAGAAACATATATATAGAAACATCAATTAGCTGCCTCCTGCATGCCCCCTACTGGGATTGAGCCTACAACTCAGGCATGTGCCCTGACTAAGAAACCGGTGACCTCTTGATTCATGGGTTGACACTTAAGCCAAATTATAAATTTTTAAGTATTCGTTCTTGTTAGAGACATCACCTAATTTTGTTATTTTTGCCTATAATGGAGGCTTCACAGATTGTGTTTCTAGGAAGTATAAGGAGAGTGCATCCTTGAAGTCACCCTGGTATTATTTGAGCAGAAGAATATGCTTACAGAATAAATACAAAAGTGAAAGTAAACTCTCATTTATTTATTTTTTATTAATCCTCATCTGAGGATATTTTTTCCATTGATTTTTAGGAGAGTGGAAGGCAGAGAGGGAGAGGAGAAAGAGGAGGTCGAGGAGGAGGAGGAGGAGAAGGAAGAGAAGGAGGAGAGAGAAGAAGGGAGAGGGGGAGGGGGAAGGAGAGAAATATGATGTGAAAGAGACACATTGATTGGTAGCCACATGCAAAGGAGGAGCAGGAGGAGGGTAGGGAGTGGAGGAGGGGGAGAAGGAGGAAGAGGGGAAGGGGGGAGGAGGAAGAGGGAGAGAAATATCAATGTGAGAGAGACACATTGATTGGTAGCCACCTTTAGGCACCCTCACCCAGGTCAGGTATTGAATCTGCAACCCAGGAACCCATGTCTAAGCACTTAACATACTATCCAGGGCTGAAAGCAAACTTTTAGGAACTATTTGAACAGTTTGACGTTGCCATGACACTTTTATTGTATTTTATAAAGAGTATCAGTCTAGGCCAAAACCGGTTTGGCTCAGTGGATAGAGCGTCGGCCTGCGGACTGAAAGGTCCCAGGTTCGATTCCGTTCAAGAGCATGTACCTTGGTTGTGGGCACATCCCCAGTAGGGGGTGTGCAAGAGGCAGCTGATCGATGATTCTCTGTCATCGATGTTTCTAACTCTCTGTACCTCTCTCTTCCTCTCTGTAAAAAAATCAATAAACTATATTTTTTTTAAAAAGAGTATCAGTCTACAATATAGTGGAAGTATTAAAAAACACAAGTTAGTTTGAGCATTACTGCTTTAGATTTATATTCTATAAAACTCCTATTCCAGACTAAAATTTTGTTTAGTTTTGTTTCTTTTTTTTTCCCTTGTGAAAATGCTAAAGATACTGATATAACTGCAAGGTTAAAAATTTGGTATTCATCTACATATCTTTAATAATGAGTTATTCTCTAACTTAGGTGTAGTATAGAAAGGGAATCTTGCCCTAGTGGATTTGGCTCAGTGGATAGGGAATCTGCCTGCAGACTCAAGGGTCCCAGGTTCGATTCCAGTCAAGGGCACATGCCCAGGTTGTGGGCCCAATTCCCAGTGGGGGGCATGCAAGAGGCAGCCAATCAATTGTTCTCTCTCATCATTGATGTTTCTATCTGTCTTTCCCTCTCCCTTCCTCTCTGAAATCAATAAAAATATATTTTTACAAAAAGGGAATCCTTAAAACTTTAGCTTCAGTTTCTTCATAATCTATACTAATAAAAGGATAATATGCTAATTAGATCGGGTGACCAGACATCTTCTGGACATCTGACTGAAGTTAGGGGGCGACCAGGCCAGCAGGTGGCAGTTGGGGGACAACCCAGGCTGGCAGGGGAGCAGTTAGAGGCGATCAGGCAGGCAGGCAGGTGAGTGGTTAGGAGCCAGCGGTCCTGGATTGGGAGACAGATGTCCGACTGTTCCTAAACCACAGTCGGACATCTCCCGAGGGGTCCCTAATTGGAGAGGGTGTGGGCCAGGCTGAGGAACCCCCCTCCCATGCACAAATTTCATGCACCAGGCCTCTAGTCCTATATAATAGAAGGGTAATATGCAAATCAACCAAATGGCAGAACCATCAGTTACTATGATGCACAATGACCATCGGGGCAGATGCCCAATGCTGAAGCTGCTCCCAGCATGCAGGCCTCTTTCGCTGGATGGGGCCTACTGGCCAACCTCTTGATCCTTCCCCCGGGGGCAGACCCTAATCGCCCAATGGCAAACAGAGAACTGGGGTGGGTGATTGCAGACACGGGCAGTGCCAGACAAAGGCTCCAGCCCCACTGGGAGTCCCACTCACAGAGGATGACCCACAGCAGGGGGCGGGGACAGCCAGCCGGCAGGAGCAGTCAACCTCTCTGTCCCTACCCCCTGGACAGCAGATCAACCTGATGGTGAACAGAAAACGGGGGTGCGAGGCAGTGGGGGCACAGGGCTGGCACAAATTTCATGCACTAGGCCTCTAATATAGGAATAATATAACTATCAGATAGGGTTCCTGAATGAATGAAATTAGATAACGTAAATGAAGCACATTTCACAATACCAGGCAAATTCTCAATAAATAATGGCTAGTATTTTGTATTTGTAATTTTTGGGGGGTTGTGAAATTCCAAAGTTGGAGGATTTTGTTTATACACTAGAGGCCTGAAATTCGTGCACGGGGGTGTGTGTCCCTCAGCCCCGCCTGCACTCTCTCCAATCTGGGACCTCTAAAGGGATGTCTGACTGCCAGTTTAGGCCTTTTCACCTGCCTGCCTGCCTGCCTGCCTGCCTGCCCTAACCACTTCTGCCTGCAGTCTGATCACCCCCTAACCAATCCCCTGCCACCTCGATCACCCCCAACTGCCTCCCCTGCTGGCCTGATCCTCCCCAGCTATCCTCCCCTGCAGGCATCATTGCCCCCAACTGGCCTCCCTTGTAGGCCTGGTCCCTCCCTACTCCCCTCCACTGCTGGCCTGATTGCCCGCAACTGGCCTTCCCTGCCAGCCATCTTGTGGTGGCCATCTTGTGTTCACATGGAGGCGGCCATCTTGTGTGTTGGAGTGATGGTCAATTTGCATATTAACTCTTTATTATAATATATAGAATATCAGACTTAGATATGAAACCTAATAAGGGTATAATATGAATCATACCCCCCCAGATTTTTTTAAATGAGGGTGCTTGGTTTGGCAGCACTTGTACTAAAATTGGAACAATACAGAGAAATTACCCTCGCCCCTGTGCTTGTATGACACACAAAATTTTTATACAAAATAATATTGAATATAAATTGTAATTGAAAAAAATTTTAAGAAAAATAAAAGGTCTATTTATTATATTCTTTTGAAAAATTTTGTTTAAATATGTGTTTATTTATTTTTAGAGAGAGGGAGAAAGAAAGATAGAAACATAGATGAGTGACAGGGAAGCATCATCGATTGGCTACCTACTGCACATCCCCTCCCCCGCCACTGGGGATCAAGCCCACAACACAGGAATGTGCCCTGATCGGAATGGACCTCTTGGATCATGAATCAACATTCAGCCACTGAGCCACACTGTCTAGGCAAAAATTTATTGATTTGAGAGAGAGAGAGAGAAATGGAGAGATTGGAGCCTTCCCTGGGGGAAGGGACCAAGGGGTTGGCCGTCAGGCCCCATCAGTGATTTATACATTCATTGGTTGTTTCTTGTATGTGCCCTGACTGGAGATCAAACATGCAACCTTGTTGTATCAGGAGAACACTCTAACCAACTGAGCTACTGGACCAGAGCTACTAATTATACTCTTTTTAAGAAATTAGTATAGCTGAAACCGGTTTGGCTCAGAGGTAGAGCGTCGGCCTGCGGACTGAAAGGTCCCGGGCTCAATTCCGATCAAGGGCATGTACCTTGGTTGCGGGCACATCCCCGGTGGAGGGGGGTGTAAGAGGCAGCTGGTCGATGTTTCTCTCTCATCGACATTTCTAGCTCTCTATCTCTCTCCCTTCCTCTCTGTAAAAAATCACTAAAATATATTTTAAAAAAAGAAAAAAAAAGAAAAAAAGAAATTAGTATAGCCCTAGCTGGTTTGGCTCAGGGGATAGATCATCGGCCTGCAGACTGAAGTGTCTTAGGTTTGATTCCAGTCAAGGGCACATGCCCAGGTTGTGGGCTCGATTCCCAGCTGGGAGATGTGTGGGAGGCAGCCGATCAATGATTCTTTCTCATCATTGATGTTTCTCTCTCTCTCTCCCTCTCCCTTCCTCTCTGAAATATATATATATATATATATATATATATATATATATATATATATATATATATGAAAAAAATTAATATAGAGAAGTGTTTATTGGGTTTGGTAACATGTAGATCATTGGTATCCTTGACAAGTTTTTTTTTGTTTGTTTTTTTTAAAGGGAGAGAGAGACAGAGAAAAATTGATGTGAAAACGCACAACAATTGGCTGCCTCCTGCACACCCCCTACTGGGAATGGAGCCCAAAATCCTGGTGCCTTGACCAAGAATCCATCTGGCAGCCTTTTGCCAAGGTTACTTATTATATTCTTTAATTGCTACATCATCTTCCTCATGTATGATTTACTCTGATAAAAACTATTACTAATTTATTAATGCAATAATCCAAAATATCGTATTTATCTATTTGAATATCTCTTGTCAGGTATGTGATAAATTTCTAGTGGTAGGAATTTTGTTTTAGACCTCTATATATAAAATCAAAGGTAATAGTGCACTTAGATCTAAATCCTGCCTTTGCCACTCATCATCATTGAGACCTTGAATAAGTTTTTTAGCCTCTGTAAAACTCAGTTATCTTCTCAGTCACAAAATAGAGATGATAGTATCTATCTCAGCTTTTTGAGAAAATTAAATGCAGTAAAGATTGTAAAAGCAGATGTCATAAGATATAGCATGAAATATTTTTTAAAAGTTAACTAATATTGCTAATACCTTGTTTCCTTTGAATTTTATTTTATTTTTTTAAATATATTTTATTGATTTTGTACAGAGAGGAGGGGAGAGAGATAGAGAGCCAGAAACATCGATGAGAGAGAGTCATCGATCAGCTGCCTCTTGCACACCCCCCACTGGGGATATGCCCGCAACCAATATACATGCCCTTGACCGGAATTGAACCTGGGACCTTTCGGTCCCCAAGCCGACACTCTATCCATTGAGCCAAACCAGTCTCGGCTCCTTTGAATTTTAAATGCATCTGAATACATAATTAGGGGGTAGCATCAAATGAAATTTCTTATATTTGTATATCTCATGTATTTTATGTAACATTCTCTTACAAATAGCATGATCGATAAATACTTTTATGCTAGTCATTTTTTAGTACCTAATATTATTTTAAGAGTAATATTAACATGAAAAATAGCTAATAAATCTTTACCCACTTATAGAAGCCAGTACACATTTCTTACACCTGCCTGCAAAATTTACATTGTGCAATACTCTCAGGACACTATCCTGAGCACTCAGGGGTGATGTAAGGAAATACCTTATATCTGGAAATCATTGATTATGGAAAAACATTGTTTTAGTACTACACATAGGCTTAAGATGATATACTACTGATTCTATGCCAATAGCAAAATTTGTTATTTTTATAATTCAACTAAAATTCTAAATGCTGATGCCTTGAAGCTTCATTTTTAATTATCATTTTATGGTTAAACAGATATATATTCACACATTTTTACAAAATCCTCTATAATAAATAGGTAATATGCAAATTGAATGTCCCACCCTCACACAAGATGGCTGCACCAAGTGGTCACAAGATGGCTGGCAGAGAGGGCAGTTGTTTGAGATCAGGCCAGCAGGAAGAGCAGTTGGGAGTGACCAGGCCTGCAGGGGAGGGCAGTTAGGGGGTGATCAGATTGGCAGGCAGAAGCAGTTAGGGGCCATCAGGCAGGCAGGCGAGAGGTTGGGAGTCAGCAGTCCCCGAGTGTGAGAGGAATGTCTGACTGCTGGTTTCAGCCCAATCCCACAGCAATCAGGCCTAAACCAGCAGTGGGACATCCCCAACAGGTCCCAGATTGGAGAGGGTGCAGGCTGGGCTGAGGGACCACCTCCCTCCTTTCTCTCTTCCCCCAACCCCCAGTGCAAAAGACTATGCTTTCCTGCTCATCTAAGTCTGTCCCTTGAGTGTGTGGCTAATGGCTATGTAGAGGTGTATAATGTGGTATGATGTGACACTAACCTCTGGGTACACGGCTCCTAGGTCTCCAGGGAGGTGTAAAGTCAACCACTGCCTCGGACCACCAAGCAGGAACTACAGAAAGATCTGCAGATTCCTCCTCTTTGTATCAGATTTGCAAATGTTCAGATGAGGCCCAGCTATGAAGCAAGGGAGGCAGGTGCTGCTTCTAAATCTTAGGCCCTTTATTGATAGGTTTGGGGTTCCCTGGCCCAGCTGCAGCTTGTTTGACAGATTTTAGCCTAAGCAAGGACAGGCCATTCATATGCAAAAGCTGCTGCACACAGCTTGGGTTGGGTTGTAAATTGGATGAGGCAAGGTCTTAAGGAATCACTAGAGCGGAGGAAACAGGAATAGCTGCCAGTCAGCCCAGAATAGGAACAGTGATCCCTGTGAGAGCCTCTGTCTGTGAGAAAGCTACCCCAAATTCCTGCCCTGTTACCAGACAATCCAGTTTCTTCTTATGTGTGTTTATGATACGGGAGCTCAGAGGAAGTGGGACCTTGTAAGTTCAGTTCCTGGTGCTGGCCTTTTAAGAGGAACAGCTGGGACTCCAGCAGCCTCTGTGTTACTGAGCCCCAATTCACACTGGTTTTTATACCACATAGTTTTTAATGCCCATAAGAACTTTTTTTGCAGCCTTGGGACCCCTAGACTGCAGGGCTGGTGTAGGACTGCAACCCCTTGCTTCTTGCTAGCAGCCTCCACAGTAATTAATTAAATTTCCCTCCCAATTAAAAATGCAGCACACATGGTATAAAAGCCCATGGGTGCCAGATAAGCCCATCCCGCACCTCCTACCTGTCTCAGTGTGTTTTCTTCTTTGTTTCTCTAGGAATTCCATTCAGCCAGCTTTCCAGCAGTTCTGGATGATGGTTGTTCTATTTTAGTTGTAATTTTGATGTGGTTGTGGGAGGTGGCAAGTATATATATTTACCTACACCACCATCTTCCTCGATTTCTAGTTGATTCTTGATTTAATTTTTTTTGTTTCTTTTAGGTGAAGTGTCTCCTGGAGCCATTCCACAGTACAGAGAAAGGATGTCTGCTGTCACTCATAGTCCAGAAATAATGGATCCATCAGAACTACGGCCATTTTCTAAACCAGATATAGCTCTGATAGAAGCCCTGAAGCTTTTAGCTGATGAGGATTGGTAAGTTCACCATTCTTTTCTTTTTAACAAGTTTTTTATTTTTAAGATTTGTTTTTGCCATTAAATAAAAATTTTTTTTAAGTAAATCCTTTATTGTTCAGCCTAAGCCAGTTTTGCTCAGTGGATAGAGCGTCATCCTGCTGACTGAAAGGTCCTGGGTTTGATTCTGGTCAAGGGCATGTACCTTGGTTGCAGGCACATCCCCAGTGGGGGGTGTGCAGGAGGCAGCTGATCAATGTTTCTCTCTCATCGATGTTTCTGGCTATTTCTCTTCTTTCCTCTCTATAAAATAATCAATAAAATATATATATTTTTTAAAAAGAAAATCTTGCCAAAACTGGTTTGGCTCAGTGGATAGAGTGTCGGCCTGTGAACTGAAAGGTTCCAGGTTTGATTCCGGTCAAGGGCATGTACCTTGGTTGTGCGCACATCCCCAATAGGGGGTGTGCAGGAGGCAGCTGATTGATGATGCTCTCATCGATGTTTCTAACTCTCTATACCTCTCTCTTCCTCTCTGTAAAAAATCAATAAAATTATATAAATATAAAAAAGAAAATCTTTATTGTTCAGATTATTACAGTTGTTTCTCCTTTTTCCCCCATTACTCCCCTCCAACCTCTGCCCTTACCTCCTCACCACTGTCCTCATCCATAGGTGTACAATTTTTGTCCATTCTCTTCTTGAACCCCCACACCCTTTCCCCCTGAGAATTATCAGTCCACTCCCATTATGCCCTGATTCTATTATATACACAAGTTTATTCTGTTCCTCAGATTTTTAATTCACTTGATATTTAGATTCACTTGTTGATAGATTTGTATTTGTTGTTCATAATTTTTATCTTTACTTTTTTCTTCTTCCTCTTCTCAAAAAACACTTTTCAGCATTTCATATAATACTGGTTTGGTGGTGATGAA